TTCTATTTTTTGTCTGACTTCAAGTCATTTGTTCATTTTATTCCATGACCCAACATCCATTGAAGCCAGTAGAGAGATTCCCATTGGCTTCTGTTCGTTTTGGGATCAGACATGTGGATGAAAGGAAAAACGGATTCTTTCCTCCTACTTCTTTCTAGCTGTGGGCTCTTCTGAGAACTACTGCTTCTCAGAAGTCCGACAAGTTGTGAGATCAGCTCTGAAACAGGTTCAGCGAGAATCATTTCTAGCATTTCTCCAACCCCTATGATCTCAACTCAGTTTTACCTGACCCACGGTTGTAGCTGAGTTAAGCAAAGTTGGTCTCTCTGGAACAAAGAATGTTATCAGATGAGGAAAACATGGAAGATCGAGTGTCTTCTCTACAGGAAGATTTAGTGCATGGTAAAACAGGGTGTGAATTTGGATACCTGAGAACCACTCCCTGATTTCCTGCAACCAGTTTACTTCCATTACACAATTTCCTAGGTGCAGCCTGAATTATTGTGCGGTATCCACACTTCACTCATTAGGCTCCTGTTTCCTTTTTTATATGCAGGGAAGATGACTCAAGACCGTCCTAAATGGCTGAGGGAAATCACACCATCTTTACAGAGTTTATTTTCCTGGGATTCTCAGACCATCCAAAGCTGCAGGCTGTCCTCTTTGTGGTGTTCCTCGCCATCTACATTGCCACCCTGGTAGGGAACCTTGGGATGATCGTGTTAATCAGGATTGACTCCCGGCTTCACACCCCTATGTATTTTTTCCTCAGCAGCTTGTCTCTCTTAGACGTCTATTATTCCTCTGTCATTGCTCCCCGGATGCTGATGTCCTTTGTAACAGCCGGAAAAGCCATTTCGTTCACTGGATGTGCTATGCAGTTTTATTTCTTCTGCATCGCTGTGTCCAATGAATGCTACCTGCTGGCCGTGATGGCGTACGATCGCTTCATAGCCATCTGTAACCCGCTGCTCTACTCTGTCATCATGTCCAAGAGAGTCTGCATCCTGCTGGTGGTTATGTCATGCTTGCTCAGCCTGGTGAACTCAACTGTCCAGACAAGCTTAATCTTTAATTTAACCTTCTGCGGCTCCAAAATCAATCATTTCTTCTGCGATGTGCCCCCCATCCTCAAGCTGTCCTGCTCCGACACCTACATCACTAACATTGTTCACTTCACTTTCTCCACCTTTGTGATCATCAGCACTGTTGTGACAATCCTTGTCTCCTACCTGTACATCCTTACCGCCATCCTGAGGATCCGCTCCACTCAGGGCAGGCGCAAAGCCTTCTCTACGTGCGCCTCCCACTTGATGGCTGTCACCATCTTCTACGGACCTATCACCTTTATGTACTTGAGGCCCAGTTCCAGCTTCTTGATGGATGAGGACAAAGTCATCTCTGTTTTCTATACCCTGGCGATCCCCATGTTGAACCCCCTGATCTACAGCCTGAGGAACAAGGAGGTGAAGGATGCCCTGAGGAGGACATTGGATAGGAAGATTTTCACTTGGTGACTGTAATCACTGGGTTTGGTTTTGACTATTA